ATTCATCGATCGTTGTAAACATATAAGTGTCGGCTAGAAATGTATTTTTTTTTGTTTTCCTGCAGAAAAGAATTAGTGAAAATTTGCTTATAGATAATGTAAAACAGCCACCATCGTTCAACTATTTCGCTGTTACTCTTCACAGATTACATACGGTTATCGGATCGTTTTATCATTTTATGCAAATGCCGTTCTTATCACTAGTTGTTTAAAAGGAGATGACATTCCAACGTTTTTCCATACAAACATAGCTGATTGCGATCCACTGATGGTTTTAGACAAGTTCGGTGCCTTCAAAAGAAAAACAAGCGGGTTTTCCGAAGAAGCCCACCTCCCCACTGAAAAAACATTGGGAAAGGTAGGCTGCTGTTATTCATCGTTTCGTTGTAGCAAATCAAAGAAATAAAGAACAAAACTCTAGATATCGATTATCACTTGAGGGATGTACCACGCCGCCAACTCCATCGATAATCATATTAGGTGTACAATTATGACTCTGCTGTTTTTTGCTGTACTAATAGTGAAAATTAAGATATGCAAACCTTTTTGTTTGAAAGTGCTGTTGTGTATGTGTGTTTCTTCACTGCAACAGCTGTAGCTATACCAGTTGCTTGTAGTCAAAATGGTTTATAGTGAATTTCATTGAATATAGAAGGGAGTCTGCAAAGAATTCTGAAAATTGCGTTTGCGAAATCTCAAGTGGAATTTGAATGAATAGATTGGGTAAATAAACTAGCATCATTGTATGATTCAGTCACTAATGAATATGGAAGTTTTGTTTCATCATCACGAGAAAACTATTCGCTGCGGTTGGTTTTGGAAATATACGGTTAAGTACAGCACGAAAAGTATGAAAAATAAGAAAGGCTCGATTGGTAAGAAAAATACGAAAAGCAAGGTAAGACAACAAAAAATAACAAAGGAGTAAACCACATGCATTACTGATTAGGAAATTCCGGAAGAGAATGATAAATCAGGTCCTCCAATTTTTTTCATGCTCTAAGAAACAAAGACAAAGAACGTAAAGGTTTCGATTACATTTTCCTTATATCCATTACAATTATCTACTATTCGCATTCTCAAAAAATTTTGGAAGAAACTCAAAAATTAAACAGCGAATTTAGTACATTCCGACACTAAACGCGTTAGATCTGAAACTTCCACTGAATTAACTGAATTTCATATTGATGTGATTTTCAGAATTTTTGTAATACAAGCTTCAGATCTAAGAGCCATTCGCGATAATCTATCTAGAGCGTTTTCATGCGGGAAAATTGCAAAATTCATTATGTTTTGGTTTCGTATTATGATTTTTGTCGTGAAATTGCACGACCTCAGTATCGCTGAAGTGTGCATTTTTTTGCTATCTTTGGTATACAAATTTCCTGTATTTGCATTAAGATGGAGCTCGTACAACGCACCATCATTTTTGTACTCCGCTTTACTAGCATGTCCCCCTATGCGCCATTCGTGCATGAGTAGCAAGCAAACTTTTAGCAAGGGGTGGATGTGGGGGATGGTGCATACATAATCTGATGACAACGGATCTCACCACCATTCCTTGATAGCCATGCTGCCGCGTGGATGTGGGGATGGTATTTAGTCTGATTATCACATAGCTCACCTCCTTTTCCTGCTAGTCACGTGTAGAGAATGGGGCGTAATCATTCTTCAGTACTCACCTCATTGGGCCGGTATAGATAGATAGCTCATTTTGAGGATACACGGATGCATAACTTATTTACTTGTTAGCCTAGTGCCACGCTGATAGTTTCATGTTAACATGAAATTTTCTGGAACACTGGAATTAGGTTCTGTCCTGGGGGGAGGGGGGGATAGGGGATGATACTTTTGCTCTGAGGTCGTAGTTTTTTTTTGGCTGTCGTAATTTTTTCTAGAAGATAGGCTATGTAGTTTTATTCTGTTCTTCTTGAGCTCTATGTACACGCGTCTGTCGCTCATATACTTTGCAATTCTTGGTCGTGACACCATTCAAGAGTCTAGTAAAAAATCTCATTTCAAGATTGTGAGTCTAGAACTTTAAATGGATCCCACGAATGATGTGGAGAGTGTCAGCTCTGGTGAGCCCTACAGGTTGGAGGAAATTTGAAGCCCCGAAGGTTAGTACATAGTTTGTCGCGACGTGCATTCATTCATTTTAATCTGATAAACAAGGGATAGGATTTCGGTATTTCTTTGGCATCGTCTTGAAACGTGAGTGATTTGAATGCCAGTGTAGAATGGAATGGTTATAAAATGCGTGACGAGTCGAATACCGACATGCTGATGTCTTCTTCATTTCATTCACATGATTCATCGTCTTTCAGGGTGAAGTAGATGTAATTATAACAAAAAAAAACGCTTAGTGGTCTTACGAATCACTACCTTCTGGTAATTGGGATAGGGTAGTAAACATCTCAGACTAGCTTGCCTGATTATTCTTATGACGCCAGATTACCTGTCGAAATTTTCGGGAAAGAGAAGAGATTAGGGGATTATCAACTTCTGTAATAAAATCCTGGTTATAATTCAGCCGTGTGAATGTATTCCTGCCGTTATTTTTTCATTACGCATGTATGTATACATATATAAGTGTATCTGTGTATACGTAACATATATAAGTGTATATATGTATACGTATATGTATATAATATATATGTTTATATTGAAGCAAAACATCGTATTTGGTATCATCTTATGGTTTTTTTTCTGCAACTGAAATACGCTCTTCATTTTCTGATTAGATTATTGTCGCTTTTTAGATGGTGCAAGCCGCTTGCGCGTAATCGAAAGTGAGTCAGGCTCACCGCATTTGGTACGTTTTGTAGATGAACGTTTTTGCCTACTTTTCAAAAATGTATCAGCTAAATTGATTTTCAAACGCTTATTTTGGGTGTTTGAAAATGCAGGCGGCGATAATGGTATCGCTATCACGCCTGACATCCTATGGACCAATGCACGAATTAGCGAAAGTAGTTTGTCTCCTCCCTCTAACCTAAATATGGATCTCAACGACCTAGTAAGTTTCACTCTACCCGGGAGCGCGTGGTGAACCGTTGCACTATCGTTGTATAGGCGTACTTATGCCAGATACACCATATATACATGTGTATATATGACGCATCATGTATCTATTCATATACCTCATATATATACATATATATATATATACATATATATATATATATATATAGTGATTCGTAATGCACACTCCTATATATGTATTCGGTGACAACCGTCAAAAAAATTAGGCGCCGTTTGGAATGCATTGAGTGTAGTTCGGTCAGATATTTTCAATTTACACGACCTACGCGCCGGTAGGCATGGAAAAAACTCATCAGCTGGGCCCATCGGTTGTGAACAACGAGCAGCCGACCAATCTGGAAATAGGTGAGTTCGCTCTAAAACCGTTTTTTTATATGCGAGGATTTTGAATAGGAATACTTTACTTTAATGATCCGTCTTCACATGTTTTTTCACTGTCCAGATCCCAGTACTTTTAGTATTCAATTCGCTCTTCCCGAAAAGAGTGAGATCTTGGTTCGAATCCCGGCTGACGCAAAGTTTTTGCACAGCACAGCACATTATCGGGTATATGTCAGCACAAGTGGGTTCAATGCCGATAGCGGCTCCTCCGCCAACCGTAGACGGCTGGGTGTTGACAGATGACGCATTTAGCGTAAAAAGAGTGCTGTGAAAAACGAGCGTCGGTAGTGCAACGGTTAGCATACGCTCCCGGAAAGAGTGAGATCTGGGTTCGAGGGCCGGCTGACGCAAATGTTTTTGCACAGCACTCCACATTATTGGGTATATTATAAAATCATACCACCGCAACAAGCGGTCAAATAAATGATTCTGATCATTCGCTGTCATGTCTTCTTCTTGAAGGTTGTAAAATGCTTGTTTGAATCCATGCAATCTTGAGGATAGCTTTAGCTGTGGCGTTCCACAGGACGTTTTGTTGAATGCCGGAGAGAGTTAGGGGTGAGCTCGGTTCCCACAAGCGCTGCGACCAGCATAACAACCATTCGGCCACGGCGCCCTTCCTTCATATTGTGAGAGAAGCCGATGTTCCGAGCGATTGTCTACATCTAACTTTGATTTTCTTAAATTTTGTGTCAGTTCACATATGTGCTTACGTAGGATTGTTACAGATAGCTAAAAACGATGCTCGAAGAAAACTATGCGCAGTTACAAGCAGTTGATCGCAAGGCAGAGGTGAGATTACTTCTCTCTCAGTTCGATGCAGTTTTGCCCATTTGAATTCCTTGCTGAACATCGCCGACACTGCGGCACTTATTTCTTGTATTCTCATGTGTGGTCTTTGATCGGATTTCAAGATGTTTTGCCTATCTTGATTTGCATATACCCAAGAGAATTGAAAGGGTGAGCAGAAACACGGCCTCAGGAAGGGAATCGAGCCCGCGCTTTATCCAAATCGGGGTAGTAGCTGATAGCTAACATAGAGATGTTATAGAATGAGTGATAGTGCAAGTGCGCCTAAGTGATGTAGTGGTAGTAGCAAGCGTCCCCAGTATGGATGAAATGCGGGTTCGATTCCAGCCTGGGGCCGTGTTGTTGCCCATCACTCAACTCTTTTAGGTATATACGAGGCATCATAATACTGCGAAAAATGCAGTAAAAATACTAGAAATTTTGAGTAATAGATATTACAATGGCTGTCAGCTCAACTGGGCTTATAAAGCAAAATCGCAAACCCGACCAAACCTGTTAAAGGTTGGTAGCTGATAACCAACTTAGAGATGCCTTTCCTTCGAGTGCTTTATCTTTTTATAGTCAGTTCTCTCGGGAGCGTTACACTCCATATAGAGAGTTGTCGACAACGTACTTTTACACTTTATGTCAGGCGAAATTTTCACCTAACTCAGAGTGTTTTCGCACTCGATTGCTAGCTGGCACCAGACCACATGACATGTTGACTCAAATAATAATGAAAAAATAACCTAGAGATGTTGAAGAGTAAGTGGTGGTCCAAATGTGCTTCAGTGGTGTAGTGGTAGTAACACATGTCCCCGGTATGGATGAAACACGGGTTCGATTCCCGCCTGAGACCGTGTATACTCTCACCACTCAATTCTCTTACGTATAAACGAAACATCGTAACACTGAGAAAAATGCGAGAAAAATACTAGAAATTTCGAGTACTCAGTCTTGCTTTGTCGAATATTCTTTGGAGCCTTTGCATAGTGTACTAAGTCCTATTGTCCTCGAATGCTGAATGATTTGCGAAAGTTTCAATCTTAAGCATAGTTCATTTCGCACACATAGTAGCAGTAAAATAAGAAATTTTCGTAGATCATCCTTTATCAAATTACCATGTGCTAGGTCGTCGAGATTGAGTTTGACTAGAGTGCGTTCAAATCTTACCGACAAAACAATGAAAAATAGCGGCGAAATCGAAGTACTGGGCGATCCACTTCCATTTCACTCTGCTTGTTATCACTTTATTTAGTCCATATCACACTTTTTCAGTGCCCAAATCCCAGTACTTCGAGTATTCAATTTCTTATGAGAATTAATGGTGGGCAAAAATACGACCTCAACCGGGAGTCGAACTCGCGTTTCATCCATTCCGTGGATGTGTGCTACCATTACACTACAGAGGTACATCCGTGCCACCACTTATTCTTCAACATCTCTGTGTTAGCTAACAGCCACCAACCAGGTTTAGTCGGGTATGCGATTTCCTTTTATTGGGTTTTCTAACCCTGGAAGCAACCGCGCAATGTAGTTCCCACTTGATTGCAAGAGAGCATTCGTTACAAAGTCAAACTTATCATTTGCTTCCTAATATCCTTCATTACCAACCACTTGGTAACTGCCTTCTGTTTTGAATTGCACCTTCTATATACATGTGATCATATTAATTTGTAAGTGCATGGGTGTTGTTGTAGTACGAGCGCATATATACAATATATAATTATATATATATATATTATATATATATAATATAATATACAATATATAATAATATATATAATATAATATATATAATATATATATATAATATAATATATATAATATAATATATAATATAATATATTTAATAGATAATATATATAAAATATAAAAAAATAAAAAATTCTTATATATATATGTATATATATATATACATATATATATATATATATTTGTATATATACACACGTCAGCAAGACTTTGATAAGATTCTGTTTCAGATGCCAGCGTTAATTACTGATATTCATCGATTGTTGTAAACATATAAGTGTCGGCTTGAAATGTATTTTTTTTTGTTTTCCTGCAGAAAAGAATTAGTGAAAATTTGCTTATAAATAATGTTGAACAGCCACCATCGTTCAACGATTTCGCTATTACTCTTCACAGATTACATACGGTTATCAGATCGTTTTATCATTTTATGTAAATACCGTTCTTATCACTAGTTGTTTGAAAGGAGATGACATTCCAACGTTTTTTCCATACGAACATAGCTGATTGCGATCCACTGATGGTTTTAGACAAGTTCGGTGCCTTCGAAAGAAAAACAAGCGGGTTGTCCGAAGAAGCCCAACCTCCCCACTGAAAAAACACTGGGAAAGGTAGGCTGCTCTTTATCATCGGTTCGTTGTAGCAATTCAGAAGAATAAAGAACAAAACTCTAGATATCGATTATTACTTGAGGGATGTACCATGCAGTCAACTTCATCGATAATCATATTAGGTGTGCAATTATGACTCGGCTGTTTTTTGCTGTACTGATAGTGAAAATTAAGATATGCAAACTTTTTGTTTGAAAGTGCTGTTGTGTATGTGTGTTTATTCACTGCAACAGCTGAAGCTATAACTATTGCTTGTAGTACAACAAAATGATTTATAGTGAATTTTATTGAATATAGAAGGGAGTCAGGGAAGAATTCGAAAATTGCGTTTGCGAAATCTCAAGTGGAATTTGAGTGAATAAGTTGGTAAATGAACTAGCATCATTGTATAATTCAGTCAGTTTTGAGTATGGAAGTTTTGTTTCATCATCACGAGAAAGCTGTTTGCTGCGGTTGGTTTTGGAAATATACGGTTAAGTACAGCACGAAAAGTATGAGAAATAAGAAAGGCTGATAGGTAAGAAAATTGCGAAAAGCAAGGAAAGACAACAAAAAATGACAAAAGATTAAACCAAATGCATTACTGATTAGGAAATTCCGGAAGAGAATGATAAATCAGTTCTTTCAATTCTTTTCATGCTCTAAGGAACAAAAGACCCAGAACATGAAAGTTTCGATTACATTTTCCTTCTATCCCTTACAATTATCTACTATTCGCATTCTCAAAAAATTTTGGAAAAAAACTCAAAAATTATCCTTTCATCATTATTTGAGCCAACATGTCAACAGCCCGAGACACGTATTTCGTCCTTGCAGACTCATCAGCCGGGCAGAACCCGTCGTCTGTCGATCTTTTATAGTCAGTTCTCTCGGGAGCGTTACAATCTTTATAGAGAGTTATCGACGACGTACGATTTACACTCTATGTCAAGTGACACTCAAAAATGAAACAGCGAATTTAGTGCCTTCCGGCACTAAACGCGTTAGATCTGAAACTTCCAGTGAATTATCTGAATTTCATATTGATGTGATTTTCAGAATTTTTGTGATACAAGCTTCAAATCTAAGAGCCATTCGCGATAATCCATATAGAGCGTTTTCATGCGGAAAATTGCGAAATTTATTGCATTTTGGTTTCGTGATATGATTTTTGTAGTGAAATTGCACTACCTCAGTATCGCTGAAGTGTGCATTTTCCTGCGATCATTTTGGTATACAAATTTTCTGTATTTGCATTGAGATGGAGCTCCTTCAACGCTCCATTACTCCTGTATTCCACTTTACTAACATGTTCCTCTATGCGTCATTCATGCATAAGTAGTAAGCGAATTTGTTTCCACTGCAGCTTCATTGTAGAGCGGGTGCAGGCAAGTTCTAAACCTTAATAATTGCAAGTAAGTGCGCAGTTGAAGATACCATAATCGAACAAATCTTATAATTTTTGTCGAAATATCGGAAAAGTAAATTTTCCGCACTGCTGTTTTTCGGGTACAAAGTCGTCATCTTCATTGTCTTATAAAAGCCATCATGTGAAATATCTTGTTCATAAAAACGTAGAGATAAGTAGCTGTTTTAACGCACTTTCAAAAAAAAATTCATATCTTTTCTCAGCAAAAATGAATGCTTTCTTTGCAAAGGAATGCCATTGGCGATCAACGAAATCCTCAACGTCTCCTTTAAACTGGTTATGGTTTTTGATTTTTTGTTGAGGCTAACCCTCTTTGAACCTCCTACCTCGGCCTTTTAATGACTTTTGATCAGTTTTGCAACGTGAGGTAGAGCGTTACTATGCAGTAAAATTGCAAACTATGCATGATTAATGGGGCTTAGGCGATGACACGATTGAAGAAAGGATGGCTAGGAAGTGGTTAAGAGACATGGTGGTCGCACGAACCTCCGGTGCAAGTGCATTGGCGGTTCATCCCTTACCCAAAGTTCAAAGCTTTCTACATCACTGCCCGTTTTCGGATGTTCAGTTCTGAGATAATGCTATTACTATGATTGCGATATAATATAAAGAAATGTTGCACATGGTCACCTGTCACCTGTCGTCCCGTTGATCGTCGAGTGACTCGAGCGGGCACCAGCAACACTTCCATATTTCCCTATCACGTGGAGGACTACACCAGTGTGTCCTCGCCGCTTAAGGGATTCCTTAGTTATCATGTCTTTTTGCTGAACTTTACGTGAATGTATCTCATTATAAGGTTGGTGGTCTTCCTGTGAAACGCTTAACATTCCAAGAATCCAGTCGATAACGGCTCTCGTTAATAGGTTGTCGGCAAAGCAATTACGTGTCTGTCCAACCTTTTTCGATGGCCTAAAATGTATTAAAGGATAGTACATAGTTTTTATGGGGTCTGTTATGGCACTTACACAGGGCAATCCAAGCGTTTCGACCTTGCAGCCTCCTCAGTTGCACAGCGTACAGGCGCAGTATTCAGATGTATTTAATGGGCGGTCATACTCATTTTTAGAACCAAGTAGCGAAAAGCATCCTAACAGCACTTCCAACAAGATCTTCTGATCTTCTTAGCGACCATTCTTGATGAGCTAAAGCATAAGAGATAAGAAAATGGTCATGCTCATTTCTGATCTTCTTAGCAGCCATTCTTGATGAGTTAAAGCATAAGAGATAAGAAAATGGTCATACTCATTTCCGTGCTACCCTCCTCCTTTGTGAACAAAGCTATCGTGTGGATCCAATATACCTTCTGTCGTCCATGACGTTTGAAAAAGTAGAATGAAAAGGGGCTGAATGAGGCGGGCAACAGTCTAAATGATTTGTGGAGAGAGATTATGAAGTACTAACCATTTGATGATCTAGCCTGCTTTTTTGCCTTTCATGAATCACATTTTATCGCTAGCTCTTTATTGTCTTAAGGAAATTCGCACTGAAACGGCATTACACGATCCTTCGTGAGCATTTTGAGAATCTCTGGATAATTAATCGTAAACTGCTTTTGATTTGCAAAATTTTTTCGTTTCATTTACTACTTACTAGAGGAACGTAAACCTAGTGTCGTTCTGAGGGCGCTATATCATAGCATCATTTAGCGAGAGAGGACAAAAATTACGGGGTTCGGATGATTGTGCTTTAGACATTTCTGAAGGGAGTCATGAATCAAGTCAACGTTGGTAGGACCCGCTTAGCTCGCATTCTAAATCAAGTTTTTGGAAGCTTTGTCATATATGTCTGGAGAGAATACTCCAATATCTCTACCAAACATAACTCGAATTGTAAATTCGGCTTTTTTCAAAGAATACATGGTCGCAATTTCACTCCATTGGCAAATGGGATTATTTCGCTTCCCCTCAATATGGTTCTTGTACAGTTTCCTCCTATGTCATCCCATCTATCGTCTACTTATGTGATCGAAAACTACCTACAAATAAAGTGAGGCTTGTGGAATTCAATCAAGTAGAAACAACTCGTATAGTAATACTGTTGCACCTTGATTTTGGAAATCGTGATCCAGAGGATTGCACTATA